AGGGTACACTCAATCCCTTCATCTAGGTCAATAAAGATATTAAACAGGATGGGCCCCAGCACCAACCCATGGGTGAAACCACTTGTAACGGGTTACCAGCTGGACTTAGCTCCATTAACCAGTACCCGCTGGGCATGGCCCTCTAGCCAGTTTCTTCAGTTTCTTACCCAAAGAAGAGTATACCTGTCCAGGCCACAGGCAGCCAGTTTCCCCAGAAGAATACTGTGAGAGACCACATCAAAGGCTTTGCTGAAGTTTAGGTATACTACATCAACAGCCTTTCCCTCATTTACCAGGCTGGTCACCCAGTCATAGAAGGAGATGAGATTGGTCAAGCATGACCTGCCTTTCACGAACCCGTGCTGGCTGGGCCTGATCCCCTGCTTGGAAGCCACGCACGTGCCGTGTGATCTCACCCAAGATGAGATCCATAAATTTCCCTGGTACCGAGGTCAGGCTGACAGGCCTGTAGCTCCCCAGATCCTCTTTACGGCCCTTCTTGTAGATGGGAGTCACATTGGCAAGCCTCCAGTAATGATCCTTGAGGTCCCTTCCAACCTGGGCCATTTTGTGATTCTGTGATACAGTGCTTGGATTTGTGCATTCTGTATTTCCCTCCTCTTGTTATTTTGTAAACCAAAAGCTCCCAATTTAATAGCGATGCAATAACGTTACTTCGTATGGGTAAGTAAAAGCAGGTTATTTCGCCTAGGAAGTTCACTTCGGAAATAAAAATGTGATGCTTCTTCAGAAGAATCACTGAAGCAAATAATAACAAAACAGTCACATGTGTCCAGAACGCCGCATAAAATTAATAGAAACCCTCCAAACAAAATAAATCCAGGTTCAACCCTAAAACATTTGATAACAACAGTACTTTGTCATGGGTAGCATCAGCAGACACCCAACCAGCATTTCAACTTACTCATTCAGTCTGTAGATTTTTTCTGAGAAGAAAACTTCATCGAGGAGCTTATGAATGTTGCGCCTCTCTGCAGCCAGCAGAACGCCGTCATTGGCCAGGATGCCCAAGCAGGTACCTGCGTGTCCAATTGCCTCCATGGCGTACTCAACCTGGTACAGACGGCCTAGGAAACGAGTTAAATTGCAATAAGGCAGCACTGAATGAGAACACAAATGAGGAAAGGTGAATTTGCAGTTTACACAGATGCCCATTTTGCAGTTTAGGACTAGTTCCTCAGGCTGGGGCAAGCAAATGAGTCTTTTGAAACAGAGAATGGAATCAGAAAAAGTGCACAGATTTGATAAGGCAATCTTGGGCATAGTTAGTGTGGGGGAAAAATAATCTAAAGAGTAGAGCTACTTCAGGAGAGACAAAATGGGTTTAAAAAAAAAAAACAATCATACTGGACAGTTTGTCTCTTAAAAAGAAAAAAATGACTTGCAAGTGCTGGTGTAACAAGATCACAGCAACAGTAACAAAATAGTAACAAAATCCATCCACACTCAAAGGAAAGGTGAAGGGTGATGATTTATTAAGGTACTTGAAAAAAAAAAAAAAGCAGTGGAATCTGGTGTAAATATACAGATGTGAACATGGTCACGCTGACACCTGATTACAAGAACTGGAAAGCCTCCTCTCTGGGACTCTGCTGTACACAGAACTACTGTGACAGGTGAATGTGGTTTGTGCACCTCATACAGAATCACAGAATGGCCAGGGTTGGAAGGGACCTCAAGGATCATGAATCTCCAACCCCATGCCACATGCAGGGTCACCAATCTCCACATTCAGTATCAGACCAGGCTGCCAGGCTGCCCAGGGCCCCATCCAACCCAGCCTTGAAGACCTCCAGGGACGGGGCATCCACAGCCTCTCTGGGCAGCTGTTCCACCACCCCACCACCCTCACGGTAAAGAATAAAATAAATAAAGAAGAACTCATTCAGGGACGGACACGCAGTGCCCCCAGCCAACCGGTCCAGTGCTGAACAGCGTCACGTTTGAGAAGCAGAACAGAAGGCGTGCAGTTTAATTAGAATCATAGTGTCAAAAAGTACCTTCTGGAGAAAATATGGTGGTTCTGGAGTCATATCTTCGAGACTGCAAGAAGCAACAGCTCGTTAAGTACCGTCACCGTCCGTCAGAGCACAGCATCCCCACAGGAGCAGAGCTCAGCACGGCCCCATCCATGCGGGCAATGCCGGTACCGCCCCGCCCGCCGCCCCCCGCTCGCAGCCCCGCATCGCGCCCACTCACCATGGTGCCGGAGCGGCGTGGGAGCGGGCCTGCAAAACATCACAGCGCGTTAAGGCGAGGCGGGCCGACCCACACGGCCCCCACCCCACAGGAACCCGCCCGACCCCCGCCTGCAGCACGGGGCGCTCCGGGCCCGGAGTGCGGAGTCATCCTCACAGGGACAGAGGGGGAACGAAGGCCTCGCCGCCCTCCCCCCCCCGCTCCCTTGCTCTCACTCCCTCCTTCCCTCGCAAACTCACTGCGTGCCGAGGAACGCGCGAGGTGCCGAAGGGGCGCTGAGGTGCGGCCCGCGGGAAGCACCGGCCGTTACAGCCAGTCCCTCAGCTGCACCGCGGCGCCGGAAATGGCCGCCGCGCCTGCGCGGTGCGTCACCCGGCCGGGGCGGGGCGAGTCCCTACCACGGGACCGCACCACGTGACCGCGCCCGCCTCGGACCCTCGCGCGCCGCTCGCTGGAAGGACCGCGCCGCGCCGCGCTCCGCCATCTTTATGGAAAGGCAGCTGCGGGTGGTGGCTGATGCTCGGCTGCCGGTGTGCCCGGGTGGCCAAAAGGGCCAACGGCATCCTGGCCTGCATTAGAAATAGTGTGGCCAGCAGGAACAGGGAGGTGATCATCCCCTGTACTCAGCTCTGGTGAGGCCGCACCTCGAGTGCTGTGTTCAGTTTTGGGCCCCTCACTACAGGAAAGACATTGAGGCCCTGGAGCGTGTCCAGAGAAAGGCAATGAAACTGGTGAGGGGTCTGGAGCACAAATCTGAGGAGCGGCTGAGGGAGCTGGGGTTGTTTATCTGGAGAAGAGGAGGCTCAGGGGAGACCTCATTGCACTCTACAACTTCCTGAAGGGAGGTTGTGGTGAGGAGGGGTTTGGCCTCTTCTCCCAGGCAATGAACAGGACCTGGGGAAGTGGCCGCAAGTTGTACCAGAGGAGGTTTAGGTTGGACATGAGGAAGAACTTTTTCTCCCAGAGAGTGGTCAGGCACTGG